AAGGAAGGAAGGAAGGAAGGAAGGAAGGAAGGAAGATAATATTGACACTGGGCCCTTAAAGGTAAATACTATCAAGACAGCTAACAAAAGATACATTTCACAAGATAGTGATGGCTTTTAAATTTTACCTAAAAGCAAAGCACCAGCTAAAAGTTATTTTGCCCAACACCCAAAAATTTCAAGATTCACAACTGTGAAAGCTTATTGTCCCTTGCAGAAAGTATTTCCACCAGTAGGCGTCCACAATGAAAATGTCCCTTTCTCTATTTACAGAAGCGTTGTGTTTTAAACCCAGGATAACAATAATAAAATTCTAGCTCAGGAATTATTACAGTATTATTTTTAAGTTGCCTTTTGGCAAGGAAAGAGATGTTAAAACGACATACCGTTAAAGAAAGCTTTAAAAAAAACCCCTAAAACTTTATTCGTAATGTCAAAATAAGAGAGAAAGCAATAGTTTAGAAACAGAAAGCAGAGCTAAAAGTAGAATTAATGTAGTTTCTCAGATAATGAATCAAGGGCTGACTTGGTATTTTGTTGACTTTGGCCATGCCTGTGACATGCCATCAGACACAAAGGCATTGCCCCACTGAGAGTTTGGCTGTAGGCTCGATTGCAAAGACCAAATACCCTGGAAGAAGACACTTCTGATGTTGCCAAGAAAATGAATTTGCCAGGAATCAAGCTTGACTTGGGAACATATTTCTCTCCCTCTCTCTCATTCTCTCTCTCTCTCTCTCCAATTTTTATATCTGTAAAATATATTTGTTAACACTGGAATTTTGGGCCCATGAGTGTCCCTGGTCTAACATATCCACGTGTCCCCCACATTTCGGCTCAAACAATTCTTTATGGAAACTTCCGTACAATACGCTCTTCCTTCATCCCTTGCCCATAGCCAGGGAGTGGCTGGTGGATGCTTCCCCCACTAGCAAGAAATCTTCCCACTTAACTTTGTACCTGAACTTGCCTTACCATAAACTGTTAGGACCCCACCTGTCCTCTTTGCCAAGGCCAAGTTGAGACCAGTTACGCGGACAGAACAAATGCATATCACCATACATGGTATCACCTTGTGGACTGGAGGATAGCCTTTTAAACTGGCCAGATGTGCCTTGGTTTAGAATATTAGAACAGGACAGAAATAACTGTTTAACTTATAGTTGTTGAATATCTATTGCCAAGGAGAAGCTCTGATTGTCTGCATCAGGTGCCAAAATAACCAAACTAGCTTTAGGAGGGCAAAAGGGTTGCCACTTCCTATTTTGCCTCAAGCAGCAAAATACCTCTGCTTGCCCCTGCCCTGCCCTTGAGAGTCCAAGTATGGAGAATTTGGTTTCCACCTTGTCTTCACAATTTCTATCTCTGTTTATTTAAGGTGTGTGGCCCCACTGTGCACCGGGCCTGTGGGAAAAATATGTACATAAATGGATATTGTTTTCTGTTGGACCAAAATCTGCAGGAAAAGGAACACTTTCCAGAATCATTGCCAGGTAAGATCTGGAGGGGAGGG